GTGGCAAGAAGCGCGGCACAATCTTTGGCTTGTCCTACTGCAACTGCGACTTGTGATAGCAGACAACTATCATTACCTGCCTATCTACAACAAAGATGTTGCAGTCCTGCAGTACGCTGTTGCGGTGTCGAATTGTCGTGATCTCTAACCCCCTCCCTAGCTGCCCTGACGCAACATGCACGCTGCAGAGTAGCACCTCCAAGAAGCGGTCAACCTGCTGTAAGTACTGCCGCACTGCCTTGACGCTCCACTGCCCGTCTGCACGCTTCAAGCGCTGGCCGCCCTCTGTAGTGAGTGCGCGCTTAAGCATCCACTCTAGCCCACCCAGCAGTTAGTTGCCTGGTGCATTGACAAACGACGTGCGTTGTTTTGTAAATGTAACATCATTAACTACCTACTTAAGATTAATAGTTATCTAGTCCTCCTCCTTTCTAATCCAGCACAGCTCCTGCAGCATCTGCTCTGCTTCAGCCAGCAAGTCTTGCGCCATCTTGCAGAAACGGCTAATAGCAATTGGACGACTGTTTAGATAAAACGTCTTTCTGTCCAGAGACCAGTGTGCGTTGCCTGAGTTGCCGGCGTTTAATCCAATGTGCTTGCCGTACGCGAGCATGCTGATCATCTCGCTCATCGGGCTGAACGAGCCATCTGCTAGATACCTCTGCCGCATCTCTACAAAGCAATCGCGGTCCAGCTCAGTTTGCGCGCTGCGCTGTGAGCCTGGGAGCAGCGCCTCAACTGCGACTACCCGCACGCAGTACACCATCCCTGCTAGCATATACGAGTAGTTCTTTGCTGTCCGCAAGCGGTCTGTGCCTGTATCATACCCAAGCACTGCCAGAAACTGAATCAGACCAGTAGACAGCGCTATAGGGTAATATGTTGTAAAGACAAACGAGCTAATTGACGCAAGAAGCGCCTCTGTCTAAGCTGCTCTGTTGTTGCCATCTAGCGCGTCCTATAGCTTAATCCTAAATGACTTCTGCTCGTCTGTCCACGTGAACAGCTCACGTGCATCTTTCACCCTATCTAGCTGCGTTCGATTGCGTGTTGTACGTTGGGGCCGCAGGCTGTCGCTATCAGCTTTACTGCTCTTGCCGTTATCGTCCTCCTCGCTGTCCTCCTCGCTGTCCTCCTCGCTGCCTGATGCTGAGCAGCTTTCTGCATAAGCGGCTGCATTCTGCTGCTCTCCAAAGCGCACAATCCGCTGCTCTTTGTCGGCTAGTACCCGCAGATAGAAGCTGACGAACCTCATCATGTAGCTTGTGTACACTGCCTAACTCTCTGGATTCTGCAAGCGCGCCAACGGTCGCACGTCTAGCTCCTCTCGCTTTGCGCTCCACAGCCAGCGCCTCAACTCTTGCGGGAGCGTAGCTAGTCCTTTTATGCTTCTTTTAATCAGCCCTTCAGTCAGCTAAGCAGCCAGCTTAATATTGCGCTTGCTGTGATCGGGCAGGCAGGCTTAATGCGCTAGATAAGCGAGATTCTAGTCCTTAAAGAACTCTAGCTAGCCTGTGCGCTTAAACTATCCTGTCTTGTTAGTCTTTGCAGCTTCTTCTAGTGTTTACAGCTCTTCCTTAATTTCTTGTTGTGTTAATCTATACTTAGTAAGCTGTGCCTAGACGTGGGTTTCCATCGCAGCGTCTTCAGGATCTCTAGCATCTATAAATCTAACAACAAAGTATTTCTGCAGTCCTCCAGTGCAGAAAAAGCTCTGCACCTTCACAGTCCTATAGAGCAAGCTTTTCTCTCCCACCCACGCTTGCTCATGATTTCGCTTGCAGTGCTTGCGCATCTTATCTTTGTTAATTGTGATCCAGCTGCATGTCTCGCACTGCGCACCATCAAGCAGCTTTCCTAGCTCTTCTATTGGCTGCGCAGGCTCTTCTAGGAGCTCAATCGCGCTTAGAGCGACGGTCTTAAATTAAGTAAAGCACTCAAGTATCTGTCGCTGTAGCGCAGCAGATGCAGCATGATATTTGCGGAGATGCGCATTAAGACTCACAACTGCTGTACAGTGCTGCTTGCAAACAATAACGCCAAAGCCTTTAAGAAAGTAGAAAACGTTATTAGAATTGCTGAGTGTAAGCTACTAGGGCCATCTGTGGGAGTTTGCAGTGTTTTTTTCACTGCTGCCTGAATTGTTTGCTTAGCTGTCCTACACAAGCTCTATCGCGCAGAATGTAAGGAGCTAGCCTCTGCAGGCTATTTGCAAGTATAAATTAAATAGATTTGTTAAGGAGTGGCTGCAGGTAGAGGTCTGCAGACTTTTATGTCCTCTGTGCAGAGGTTACACAATTAGTCAAGATTAGGACCTCCTGACTGGGGGTACAGCTGGGCAGGCACCTCCTCTCAGAGGTTGGCTGAGGCTAGCGAGCGCTGAGGCGCTACCATCAGGCCTAGCCTGTTACACAGAAACCCTAACCCTACTTACTATAACAGCACTAAGTTTTGCTAAATAGACAGACAAAACGCTTAGCGTTGCTGCGCAAAGTATATAGGAATTAAGTTTGTATAAGATATTTTTTAATTTAGGCCTAAAGTAATAGCAGGTTAGTAG